TGTCTTACACCCCTTTCTGTTTTTGCATAGTGATTTTCCAAGCGTTTTTGTTTTTATTCTAATGTCCTTCCCGAATATGTCAAATTGCGAAATCGCTATGGAAAACGGTTGAAATTCATAAAGTATTTCTATTAAAACAAGTAGCAAATTCAGTTATTTCAGTAACTGCTTTCCAGTATCGATGGGAGTTTCCTTCCTAACCTCCAGTTTGAAGTTATGTGGAACGTCAACATCATATTTTAATTCAGACAGGCAAATAAGCTAGCTAGCTAGATAGATAGATAGATAGATAGATAGATAGATAGATAGATAGATAGATAGATAGATAGTTAGATATTAAAAGGGTGTATTAGATAGATAGATAGATAGATAGATAGATAGATAGATAGATAGACGGACGGAGAAATTTCAATAGATAGATAGATAAATAGATAGATAGATAGATAGATAGATAGATAGATAGATAGATAGATAGATAGATGGATAATGAACAGATCAAGATAGACAGATACGAAAAAAAAGAATATAGATACGAAGAAATAAAATGAATAGATAGATAGATAGATAGATAGATAGATAGATAGATAGATACGGAATAGCCTCAGATAGATAGATAGATAGATAGATAGATAGATAGATAGATACGGAATAGCCTCAGATAGATAGATAGATAGATAGATAGATAGATAGATAGATAGATAGATAGATAGATAGTATTCCGAGTATGTCTTTATTTTCTCTTCTAGTGACATATGCTGTCCATTCCAGATGTATGTTGACTTCGGTGCAAACTGTTGCAAAGTTTGCTCTGATCAAAAATTAATAAGATAAGATTTAAAAAATAAACCACTCTGAGGATGGCTCATGTGAGTCGAAACCTTAGGACCAACTTAATAAAAATATATCCAAATGCTGGATAAGTTTTTTTTTTGTTTTTTTTTGTTTTTTTTCACAAAACATTCGTACATTAGAACAGCTCATGATCAGACATAATAGACATTCATTGTCTGTTATATTTAATAATATATGTTTTACATATATATATATATATATATATATATATATATATATATATATATATATATATATATATATATATATATATAATATGTATCCATAGTCTCTTTACAGTTTTAAAATATATTGATGAGATATCTTAATCAGGTTTGTTCTCTGTACGCAGTACTTTTCAAAGTTTTTTATCACATTGTATTTGCGTGCTTCAGGTACCCGCTTGATGAAAGAGGTACTGTTAAATGAATCCCTAACATTTCAAGATCTGTGAATTGGATAGGATGATCTATTTCCCTGACCACCTCGTTCACCAGATATCACTCCCCTGGACTTCTTTCTATGGAGCTATTTTAAAGATATAGTGTATCGAAAAAGATACGGGACATCACTGATCTCAAGCAAAAGATCACTGATACCATTGCCATCATTGATGAGGCTATGCTACAGCGAACATTGTAAGAAATCGAGGACCGTCTTTATGGTCTTCGTAAAACTAATGGTACCCATGCAGAGGTGGATTAAATTATTTAAAAAAAAACTTCATTATTTACTCCTCATTTTGTAACAATTTCCAAATATTTGTCTGTTCATTTGCTTTTGTAATATGTTTTTAATTGTAAATGAACTTTATGGACACCATTTTGTATATTTCAGATATCCTCTTGATGAAAGAGGTACTGTTAAATGAACCCCTAAAATGGCTGCTCCTCAAGAAAAGGTACAATGTGGGTCATGCTTTATTGAAACATAATCGGATACACAGACTCAGCGAAAGTACAGAACTTCTTTCTATGGGGTCATTTTAAAGAAACAAAGATACGGGATATCACTGATCTCTAGCAAAATAACACTGATGCCTTTGCCACCATTGACGAGACTATGCTACAGCGAATATGGCAAGAAATCGAATACCGTCTTGATGTTCTCCGTGCAACTAATGGTACCTATGCAGTGGGGTATTAAATTAAAAAATTTAATATTTACTCATCATTTTGTAACAGTTTCTTCATTTTTGTCTTTTTAAATTGTAAAGAGACTTTATGGACAACCTGTGTATTCTCATTAATCGCTCTAATGCGGCAGCATAAAAAAGGTATTCTCTAGTAAATCGAAGCGAGTTTATTTAACGTCAGATTTTGACTGTCCGTCAGTTTTGGTCAGAGTTTGCATCATAATGAAGCTGAGTTACAAGATTTGTCTTTTGGAGAGCTGTTAGAAAATATGAAACTCTCATTGACTTTGACTAAATAAATAGCTAACCGTTTGTATAAGAGTATGCCTTTCTGGCTAGCTAACCCATGTTCCAGACGGCTTATCCGGTACAAAGCCAACCTGTGGTTTATACTGTAACTATGCTGCGTAGACATTTGTTACTGTTACATTGAAAAGAGTGAATAATCTAGTGTGATAACCTGCTTGAACTAAGCCAATAACATGAACATCTCGGTCACGATGGCATATGACTTCGTGCTAGAAAAACGTATTGCGAGCCTTTTTCGTGTATCAAATTGCATTCACATGGTTTAGGGTCAACCCTTGCTATGGTTTTCATGCATTTACCAACAGTACCACGTAATATGATCGCTTCCATATCAATATCGAATAATCGATATGGTGAGATTCGAACTCGTGACTTACAGTTGTAACGCTAATATTCCAACCAATCATTCACGCACCCTCATTTTAAATAGATACGGATGAATCAAATATCTTCGTGTCTTTCGGCCGAAACGTTGTAATAAATATGGCGACAAAGATGAGGATAATAGTCCGAATAATATAAATAGTGTATATAATATCTCATCTCAGAAATATAGACAGATACTGAAGGGCCGAAATGTTGTAATAAATATGGCGACAAAGATGAGCACAATAGTCCGAATAATATAAATAATGTACATAATCTCATCTCATAGACAGATACAGGAAATAAATAGACAAAGATGAGGGCAATAGAATAATGTAAAGGGCCTCATCTGATAAGATATGAAGGGCCGAAACGTTGTAATAAATATGGCGACAAAGATGAGGACAATATTCCGAATAATATAAATAATGTACATAATATCTCATCTCAGAAATATAGACAGATACTGAAATGATAAATAGACAAAGATGAGGACAATAATCCGAATACTGAACGCCTGAAAAACGTTGTAATAAATATGGCGACAAAGATGAGGACAATATTCCGAATAATATAAATAATGTACATAATACCTCATCTCAGAAATATAGACAGATACTGAAAGGCCGAAACGTTGTAATAAATATGGCCACAAAGATGAGGACAATAGTCCGAATAATGTAAATAGTGTACATAATACCTCATCTCAGAAATATAGACAGATATTGTGCTATATTTTTTAAAATAAGAACCATGCTTCCTTACAATGTTCTTGTATGCTTTTACAATGCATTATTCACTTCCTTTTTGCAATACGGAATATTAGTCCGGAGTCAGACTTTTTCCTCCTAAATTGATCTTTTTTCTAGGCAAGTGGAGAGAGTGTTCAGGTCTCTTTCTTGTCGGCATATTTTCTTACCTTTCCGTCTATCCCCCAAAATACAAAAACATTAAGATTTCCGGAAATATTTAAATTAAAATTATTAATTTTTGCGTAGGAGTTTATTAACAAAATCTCCCCATCTTGTTTTCGCCACTATTTCTCTCACAGTTCATCTGTTCATCAATATCCAACAAGGCTATGTACACATGGAGGTTTGTTTTAGATGCCTGATAATACTTTACAATATAGTTTGACGGTTCGCTATCAAGGAGCTGTGCCTTGGAACACTTTACCTCTTTCGATTACAACTTCTCCTTCCAAACATTTATTTAAAAAAAAACTTTTAAAAGAAATTGAATCCAAATCACTCTATAATAACTCAATAATGATTCAATAACTCAATAATAATAATAATAATAATAATAATAATAATAGATATACCCCCTTATGCAAATTAATTGAAACAACCACTTTAGTTTCCTTTCTTTCATTATACAATCAGTTTTAGACCCAATAGAGTGACAGGGTGTAATCGATTTCTATTTTTTCCTCGGATTAGGTCATTTGAAGTGTTGTGCAGTAATATGAATCTATTCTCGGGGTGTATGATGAAATTTGTTTCGCTTTGAAAAATATTGTGTCATCCGTGATTGCATCAGATTTTCATCACAGACACTATTGTCTCGACTGTCGATTAGTTGTCCTAAGGCCATTGTCTGCGATGGACGTTACTCCAAAGGGGCGTACGAAAATTTTAACGCTACACGAACTCACTGGCAGGCCTTACCAGTGAGAAAATAAAAGTACTATCGATTGACCCGGAAACTCTCCTGATTTAAATCCAATCGAGAATTTGTAGTCAATCTGCAAGAAACGACTTCGTGGAATGGACATTCGGAGTACTAACATCTGCACTGGGTCATGTTTCATTAGAAAAATATGAAAAAAGTAAATAATAACGGAATTATTCATTTTGTTTCAATTAATTTTCACAAGGGTGTACAATTGATTTTTTAATTAATTTCGTAACTAGGATTATAATTAGTATAGATTCTGGATTATTCTGATATTCTTCCCAAATATGTCACGGTTACCTAGAAATTCCGAAAGTTCTTTATGCGTCCATATTAACGAATCGCGCAGTGGGGTTATTTACGAAATTTCGTTTAATGGACGAAAATGGAAAGCGACCAGTGAGAGTCAAGCTCACTTTGCCCAATTTTGTTCGACGAGTTTTCTGTTATAATTCAGCTACGACATGAATGAAATCCGAAAGAGTAACACTGCCTAGCCCCAAAGACTTCATAAATTACCTGAAGGTCAGCGTGTCTCACTGACACTTTCAAATGACATCGCACTGACATTGTCGAGAGTTGTATGCCAAACTCTAATGACACTTGAGTTGAATCTCTACAATGCCTCGCCGTCGACCTTATCGAATGCTAATGACGAACGTGGAGGAAAAAGAATTTCAAA